AGCTGGAAAATAGAATAAAACTGCTTGAGCTCGGTGCTGGTTCTCGATTCTCGGTTCTCGATTCTCTGGGGCATACAGAGAAGCATCGTCACCAGTCCGAGAGTCTGAAGAAGATTTCAATGTAAATTGGCTCCCGTTGGGCAAACGCCGGTGCCACGGGAATGTGTCAGCGGCTTAGACAAATGTGCAGCGGGGAGTTTTTGGGGTGAAAGAATGTCAGCTGGAGGGTGGCGAAGTAAGAAAGAGAGAAAGAAAGAAAGTTGCTGCACCGAAAACTTCTTTCCAGGTGGGCCTCCTCACAACCCCTTCCTTTCAGCCGGCTCTCAAAGTTATTTGCACATTTTCCTCCAGCTCGAATTAGTTAAGGAGTCTTAAAGTTTGCCCAAAAAGGTGTTGAGTAGCGAGCTAGTTAAGGCATTAAATAATAAACACTGCCGAAAGTGAGTCAATAGAGAGGAGCACACTGGAGGTAAGCGACTGGTAACCAAGAGGAACCGACCAGGAAGTTTCTATCGGATTTCGACGCTTTTGGTTGGCAGCAGCCAGATGAAACTTGGTTGCCATGGTGGCCGGAGGGCAGGTAAAAGTAGCTAAAGTTGCTCCGAAAGTAGTTATTCAATTTCCAGTTTGAAACTGCAAGGAATAAAGGATTGCAAGCTAAGAGTTGAGAGTGACATAGCCCTTTCCCAACAATTTAATTGAATTTTAAATATATTTAAGAACTAACACGTAAGTTTATTTATGATCTTATTGATTTTGTTGGTTTATATAAAGGTCCTATATAAATTATACTTTTTTTAAGGGTGCTTTAACTTGTAAGCTGTCCAAAACGAAGTTGTTGCATCGCGAATAACCCCCTACAAGATGTTATTCGTCTGAACCCCTAGTTATTTCCAAAGGCCAACAATGTCATAGCCATGTAAATAATTGCCAACATGCGTAGTCGCTTTGTCTAACACAACTCGGCATGGAACATGATGGCATAGAACGGCAGACAAAACATGGCCGTGTATTATGAAATATTTGTTGTACATTTTTTCTCAACAATATTATGCACTTATGGAAAGGTCGAGGCAGTGTGAAAAGAAAAGAAATGCACAGGAAGGGGGTAGAAAATAAGAAGGTGTCTGCGAAAGGGCGAAAAGGGTTGCATGGTCGGGTGGATAGGTGGATAGGTGGATAGGTGGATAGATGGATAGATGGGTGGGTCTTGGATACCCGACCCTGAGCAATGCCCTCTCGCACACAATTCTCAGTTGACACCAGCTGGCTTCCCTGTCGCTCGTCTGTGCAGCTGTCGACATCTTAACATTCAAAAGCCAACAATGACAACGCCAACGATGGCTGGGTATGGGAATGGAGATGGAAATGGGACTGGAACCGGGTCTAGAAGACCGAGACCGAGAACGAGTCTGGGGGAGACCTGCTCAAATGTCAGCGGTGCAGTGTCTGGGCTCTGCCGGAATTAGCAAAATGCAGCTACTTGCACGCAATTTGTTCGCAAGAAGGATAAGGCTAAGGACTCAAGGACTCTGGGCGTTGGCTGGAGCAACAGCCTGAAAGTGTGCTGGGGAAAAAAAAAACGAATACGCGTTGACCATTTGCCAAGTGAAAAGCCAGATCCAGCCGAGTGATTTTCCATCCCCCTTTCTTTTCACCTTTCTCTGGATAATGCAAGATGTGTGTTTAAGCTACGATTTCTGTCCGACCTCAGACTTTTCGTTTCGTTTCGTTTCGTTTCTTTTCCCTCAGCCAGCTTTCCTTTCTTTCTCAGCGATTTTTTTCTTAGCAGTCTCTGCAATATATTTGCCATCTGAATGGACGTGCCAAATGTTGGAGCAATAAGTTGTGCAGCCGAAAAAGAAATTTATATTACGTTTTAATATGAGTTCAGCTAAATATTTGACGACGTTCGAGGGAGTATCCTGTGTAAGGGAACCCCTGATTAGTATGACTAGCCCCGTGGCAAAAGGCACTGACTGACATCAAGTGGCACCTGTTCTGGTACCTGTCCTCTTCAAGTACGTATGTCCTGGTGTGTCCTGGACAAATCTGTTGGGTATTTTTAGCCACAAGTGTGACTGGCTGACTGGGCTGCGACGACACATTCACACTTGCACTTAATGCGGATTTCTTGGGGGCTTACAAACGCCTTTTTTCCTGACCTAAGTGCAACTTTGCCTTGCGGTTAGCTGTTTTCCTTTCGACTTAACCCTTTAAGATTGTTGGTAGACCATGCTTTTTACTATGCGATCACGAACATTGTGCTCAAATATTAATTTACAAATTTTTTAAGATATAATTTATGATGTATTTTACTTCTCCCAAGCATGGAAATACAATACAACATTCTAGATACTTTTATTATAAAACAAAACTTTTTCTTCACATTTCAAGATTTTAAATTTAAATATTTCGCTTTAAAAACATTAAGTTCTCTTCTATTTAATGACAAGATCAGAAAATCTTTCGCAAGTGCAATTACAACATTGAGTAAGTGTCAACAAATTTGTGTGCTGCCATTCTGAAGATTCTTTTCTCTCTTGTCTTTTTTAGTGGAAGGCAAATGCTTTTAGTGTGAAGACTTTTTTGCCGCGTTGCTGCATGTTTCTATTTAAAACACCCGAACAGCTTTCCAATATACTCAATACACACACCCATCCAGCCATCCATCTCTCTCGCTCTAGCTGCGTCTGCCCTCTCGCTTGCACAATGTCAACGTCAAAGTGCAAGTGGCATTATGGCAAAAGAAGTCAACACCACCCAGGATGTGGGAGTGGGTGAGTGTGGGTGGTGGCTGTTGGTGGGTGGTGTGGCCAAAAGGAAATCGAGCCAAAGAGAGACACTGTGCAATACAGTGATGCCCACTAAGCATTTTGAAAAGAAGTGAGATGCCATAAAAAAGGATATCCAAAAAAAAATTGTCACGGAAATGTAGTTTTAAACTTTTAATATTGTTAAAACATATAATTCTATTCATTAATTCTACAATGATATTGTTTAGTCCCTGCCTCAAATGAAATAACAGAGGTTTTTGTGAAATTTGTGTACATCTTTTCAAGGTGACAAGATCTATTAATAAAACCAAGGATTTTAAATTTAATCATTTAGTATTAAAAAGCGGTACAAAATTAGGCGAAATTACAGTTTTTTGAGAAAGCCCTGTTAAATTTGAATCCTTTTAATTTCCTTCCATCCAACAAAAAATGTATAGATCCATTACCGTAAGGTTAATATTTTTAATTTAAAGATATTTTTCTTTGAAGATACATTTTGGACATGATCTGGCTTTCTTTTCATTTCTAATTTGGTAAAGAATGTCAAAGGTTTTTAAATTTAAAGTACAAAGAAAACATGTATCTTCGATGTATGTAATAAATCAAGGAACCAGAAACTTTTTAAAATGAAACGAAATTTATAAAAAAATTCACCCTCAAGAGACCCATAAATTATTTTATTTGCTATTTTTAACGTGTGTTTATTAAAATTTTAATTGTTAAAATACATATGTATACCAACAAATCGTAAACAAACGGTTATTAAAGTAAAAAGTACTATTAATGTATTAAAATGAAAAGCCTTTAATCAAGTTTCAAGGAATGGAAGGAAAAAACAGACCATATCCCGACTAAATCAATTTAAAAAAGGACAGATCTAACAAGCCAAATGACGAATTGTCAGCACTATGTGAAAATGAATGGCAGCGAGTGCAGGGGGCGTGGTTCTGCCCTTTTTCCGCCATTAAATGCAATTTTTAAGTCAATTTCAGCTTGCAAACGAATGCAAATAAATGCTGTCAGCAACAGGACACGATTAGTGGAAGCCCAGGGCAAAGGGGTGCAAGGGTAAAAGGTCCTTAAGAGTTTCAGGTTGCAGTTGCAACAGCTCAGTTAAAGCGGCATTGACAGGCGTTGATAGAAATCGAATTAGCAACGGCGATTGCCACACGTTTTTACGCTGTGTACAAATTATTACGCATACGCCCCCGAACAAAGTGGAAAATGAGATGTGTGTGCGTGTGTATCTGTGTTGTTGTGCGATGTGTGCGTGTATGTATTTGCGGCATCTGCAGTTGCCTTTATGTTTACAGGCAATTAGCATTTTAATGCCGCACCAAACAAAGGGCGACGGCAACTGCAGGTGCCCAACCGAGTGATGCAGACAGGGAAAGAAAGAGAGTGCACATGGTATATGGGGCTGCCTGTGACGTTGATGGAGGTCGATGTGGGGTTAAAGGGCGGGCAGGGGCCAGCACCTGCTAGTGTGGTCGCGCTCGAGTTGCTTTTCATTATTTTTCATGTTCGACATGAACGCAAATTGTCGATGGCTGGCAAGGGGGGCGACGGGGCACCAAATACTATAGCACTTAGTTCGCTGTTCCCGACCAGAGTCGGCTTTATAAGTTTTTGAATGGTTGGGGTTTCAATAAATGGGTCTAAGAAAGTCCCTTTAAATAAATGGCTTAACTACGTAAGCAGATACCATCTAATTCTAATCAGTTACCTCATAAACAGCACTGTTTTGATTCAACCTATAAATAAAATATATAAACATTGTACTATAGATGCCTTAGAAAATGTAACCATTTAAAAAATTTAATACACTTTTGAGTTGGTCTGAAAATGATTTCCTAAGATCCAGCTTTCGACCTTTAAATATTATAGAAAATACAGATTTCTTCAAGAAAGAAAATTAACAAATCAAATGTCAACATTTAATATTATATAAAACACTTTTTATTTGGATTGAAAACGGTTTTCTTTTATCTAGCTTTCTAGATCTTAATCGAAATTATATAATTCTTCAAGAAAACAAATTTTCAAATCAATTAATTATTATTAATTATAATACCATGATTTAATAATTAGTTAAGTAGACCTTTTAACATTATTGTATTTTTAACTGTATTTGTTAATCTTTTAAGCGAATTCACCAAGTGCCGAGGCGTTGAACTAAGCCGCAAAAATATATCAAATACATAGTAAACAAAAAACGAGTTCTAAAACCTATATTATATTTTTATTTGAGACCCCAACATGTGCGGGTTATTAAAATCACGAATACGAAATGTTGTTTATCCAAAGCCCACGTGCGCTAAACACTCGACCTGCATTAGCAGTTGTTTATCGACAAATAGTCGTACCAATTCAAATTAGTGTCAATTGTGGTTAGATTAGATGATTTTATTGAGCATTTTTCGGTGTTTTTTGCATTGCACTCTGTTTTTTATATATATATTTATATGTACAAGATTAAAAACCAGCTGAGGGAGTTATCCACGATTTTGATGCTGCCGGTTGACACAGTTGAGGTGATCCTGAATTCTGTTTATGTCGATCACCAGGTTGCCGTTGGTGGAATAAAAGCCGCCATTGCATCCTTGAGGCGCAGCCATGCAACATCCAACAATCAGGCAGCCAATTAGCAGCAGTAAAACAAAGGTGTATGATTCCATTTTCGAGTGAACTGTTCGTTGCAATCAGCGATGAGATACTGCCGGCTCAGGTCATCTGTGCACCCAGATTATATGCGAGAATAATCAAATCGGGAGATTCCCAGAATCAAATGCAACGTACTACGCAGATATCAATTATCGCATTGCTCTTGCAGCCTCAAAACTCGTTATTTACTACAGGAATTCCCAATGAGAATTGTTCGTCTCATTATCAAGTCAAGTGTATTCACAGGTCTACAATAATATTTTCTTCAATGATAAGCCTCCAAAGCTTTACAGTAACTGCCTTCCAGCGACGCCTCTGTCTAACAGAGCTTGTCAGGCAGCTTTAAGCCGAAGGTGTCATAAAACCGGTAATGCTTATATTGCTATTATAAAGTGGGCATCGCCCCAGTACTACTTATCGAGATTCCATACCCACATCTTATGTGAAGCATAGCTAAGCCACAATAAATTGCTATCACGGTAAAATCGTCGATGCATAATTGGAAACTACATAAAAACTGGATGTATTTACCCAAGAAATTGGTAGTTCAATATTTTTGTATTTCCCCAACATTAGTTTATTCTTACTTAAGATGCCTTTTTTAAATACATGGCTACTTTTATATTATTTCGCCATGAAAGCACAGCGATTCGTATTGGCTAGGCTTTAATGTTTGGTCCATCTATTCAAAAAAACCTTGTCATCCAAATGTTGTTCCTTTTCAGATTTGTTTGCTGACTGTTTTTGATGTTCCCACGTCTGTCGTTGCTGTTCTCGTAGGTGGACTTTTAATTAATGATGCTTTATAGGCGACATTGGTACGAGCCAAGGACTCCGCATCTGCGTAATATTTGAGTGGGTGTGGAGTGTCCACAAGAAAACGTTTGCAAATCCAAACAAACCAAAACAAAAAAACACGCACACAAAACAAATTTAATCGATATTCTGTGGCTATCATAAAAAATTCTTTATGTATACCCACGCACTGGGTCGTCGTGTCAGTGGTGTCGTAAGGGCATTTCCATGCGTTTATTATAATACTTAATTGATAAGCTGTGCTGTGGCTTGTTGGCTACAATGAGTTCGTATTTTTCCCTGCATTCTCGTGAAGTTGTAAATAATTTCATAATTAAATTAAATGGATGCGAGAAGTTGATGCAGCAGGGCATATAAAACAATTTGCTATTAGGAGGAGCCCGGGGGAAAACTTTCCAGTAGATGAATGGCCTGACATCGAAGACGAATGACGAAAGGCAGAGAGGACGAGCTGATGTAGTGGGGGGAATCCCAGGACAGGGTCTTAAAAGAGGGATATTAGGGAGACTGGCAAAGGAGACACTTTTTCAAAACAATCAATCAAAACGCTTCGCTTGAAATACAGTAAACTGTTTCAGTTTTTTCAAAAAAGCCATTTGCATTTGCTAAAAAAATTGTGCTTTTTATAAGAAAAGCGTCCGTCATAAAAAATATGCTTGACTTACTTGGTTGTATGTTTATAAAATGCTAAGTTCTTAATGAGCACCAACAGGTATTTAAGTTAAAATTTATCAGTATCAACAGTGTAGCCACCGAAAACTTTGATTTTGGGAACTAAATTTCCCAAGAGTCTGCGCTCAAAATATGCAATATATACATGAATTCATATATAAAGACGAGTTTCGCAGAGAATGTTTATAAATATATAATCTCCTATCAGTAGAAGTTCACGTATTTCCCCCCTTATCTGTAAGAGTTCAACTGATCGTTTTTGGCGCTTAATATACGACGGCACAGATTTCCAGAGAGCTCAGTATATTACTTTACTTTGACTAGGATGGCTCGGCTGACCGGGATAAAAATAATTTCAATCTTGTGCCTGTTCCTGGCCACTGTCCAAGGCCAAGGACAGTTCGACTACCAGCCTTGCGGTGGATCGAACAACTATTTCTGCGTGCCGCGCCCTAGGTGCAAAATTCAATTGGGCTATCGATCTCTAGTGAGTGGCAACTTAGGATGCCCCTCCACATCGAGATGCTGTCCCCAGAAGTTAATAGTAAGCACTATCAATAAATTCAGCAACATTAAAATGCCTGTGTATTCCAGTCCAGTTTATTTTCAAGACTTCGATTTGAAAAAAAGATTATTATTATTATTATAAAAAGTTCGACTATAATGTAAAATTTACAGGCGAACTTAAGTTAAGCTATAGCTACGTGGCCTTAAGCTTAAAAACTAGTTAACAAATTTCAATATAAATTTCATAACAACATTTATCTATAACTTCAAAAGCTTATTAAATTTCATTAGTTATATTATTATAGCTAAGGAATTTTATAATTTTTTTTATTTGTGGCGCGCTGGGGATGAATATGGATTGTAAGGGGCTTGTGGAAGTGAAGAGAGACGATCTTATGGAATCGAGATAGGAACATTCTGTTAGGATGTGTTGAGGAGTTCTTATTTCGTTGAAAAAAAGATATTTTAAAGCATTGCTTAAAGAAAAATTAGAAACCAAAAGCTTATCAATTGTGCTTCAAGCCACTTAAACTTTGACAAAGTAGTTTGAAATTGTTTTTACTCACTTTAAAAGGTTAACAAACAAAATTTTTAAGGGAAAGTAAAAAGAGTTAAAAAAAAAAAATAGTTTTTATACCCGTTACTCGTAGAGTAAAAGGGTATACTAGATTCGTCGGAAAGTATGTAACAGGCAGAAGGAAGCGTTTCCGACCCCATAAAGTATATATATTCTTGATCAGGATCACTAGCCGAGTCGATCTAGCCATGTCCGTCTGTCCGTCTGTCCGTCTGACCGTCTGTCCGTCTGTCCGTCTGTCTGTCCGTCCGGATGAACGCTGAGATCTCGGAAACTATGAGAGCTAGGCTTTTGAGATTTGGCGTACAGATTCCTGAGCTTCTTACGCAGCGCAAGTTTGTTTCAGTAGACTGCCACGCCCACTCTAACGCCCACAAACCGCCCAAAACTGTAACTCCTACAGTTTTGATGCTAGATAGAAAATTTTAACTGAAATGTATTGTTCTCATCAAAACCTATCGATTGACCTAAAAAAAAGTTTGCCACGCCCACTTAAACGCCCACAAACCGCGAAAACCTGTGACGCCCACAATTTGCATGCTAGATAAAAAATTTTAACTGAAATGTATTGGTGTCGTCAATACCTATCGATTGATCCAAAAATAATTCTGCCACGCCCACTCTAACGCCCATAACGCTTAAATCTGTCTACCGCCGGTAGGTGGCGCATTTTAATTTCGCTTTGCTGCTTGCATATCTCCATTTCCCTTTGAGTAACGGGTATCTGATAGTCGAGGTACTCGACTATAGCGTTCTTCCTTGTTTAAAATTGGATTTTTGTTTTCTTTATTAAGTGTTACCTTTCCGTATGCATTACAAAAGACTATGACTTCCGACTTAAAAATAGGAAATTTTGTGAGGTTATATAGTAGTGTATAATAACATATTTTACTTATTTTTTTACGAAGATGGCTCATTTTTTGTTATTCCCCTGCCGCAGTAAAGTTGATCTATCCGTCCCCATTATATATATTCGTTATCGGCATATATTATATATATTCTGACACCCAAAACAAAAACGAAAATATTAAGAACATTTTTAACAATTTTACGTTTATAAAGAACGACCGCCACGGGATGAAATCATGAACCTTTAGGTGAAATTATTAAGTCTTCATTTTGCTTAGCTTTGAACGATATGAGGGTCAGATTAGAAACAATTGGTAATATCATTTTCTTTTAAACTTTAAAATTTGAAGTTTTATAAATAAAATTAATTTTTAATAAAATATTATATTCGGACAAGATCATAAAGCTTTCATAGGAACTATCGCTATATGTACTTCAATACAAATTTGTCGCATACAATTTAGACGTCTTCCTTGTTTTTAATCACTTTTTTTCCATTGTAGCTTGACCAAGTAGTCATCGACGTCCAAGAGCCAGTTAACCCCAGCTGCGGGCGTATTAACCCGAAAGGAACGACCTTTGGAATAGGTGACCTACAGTACTTGGCCCAGGAGAACGAGTTTCCGTGGATGGTGGCCTTGCTCGATGCAACAGATAAAAGCTACGTGGCCGGCGGCGCCCTGATCGCTTTGCATGTCGTGATCTCGGTCAGGCAGAAAATCGATGACATGAACCCCGAGCAGCTTCTTGTGCGGGCTGGCGAATGGGACTTTAAGACCGAAACCGAGCATTATCGTCATGTGGATGCTGAGGTCAAGCAGATTGTGCGTCATCCTGATTTTGATATGAATAGCGGAGCCAATAATGTGGCCCTTCTCTTTCTCAAACGATCGCTTAAGGCTAGCATCCATATTAATCCCATATGCCTGCCGGAAGGACCAAAGAACTTTGATTTAAGCCGCTGCATCTTCACTGGATGGGGCAAGAAGTCCTTCGAAGACTTCACCCACATGAACATCATGAAGAAGATTGAGCTACCGGTGGTTCAGAGCAGTACGTGTCAGCATGCTATAAGCCAATATCTAGGAGGCGAGTTCGTTCTACACAACAGCCTAATGTGCGCCGGCGGTGAAAAAGACAAGGACTCCTGCATGGGCGATGGTGGCTCTCCGCTGGCCTGTCCAAGACAGGACGATCCTGAGCGGTATGAACTGGCGGGCCTTGTCAACTTCGGCGTACAATGTGGAATACCGGGAGTCCCGGGCGTTTATGTTAATGTGGCCAACCTTCGCCAATGGATTAATAGGGCGACCACAGATGGTCCCTTACCTGATGAAATGAATAGTTTTGACCAGGGTCACTATGAACATGTACAACGAGTCAATCCACATAGGTGGACTCTAAATGAGGCCGATAAAAATCTTGCTTATAGCAATGGAAATGGTCAAAATGGAATTATTGGACAGCATAACCCAGTGAACAATATACCTCCCCAACCAGTCAATCCAAGTGAGTTTTTTATTCACGAGCCCAATCCAAATCATGCTTTTGGCAATGGATATGGTCAAAATGGAATTATTGGACAGCATAACCCAGTGAACAACATACCTTTCCAACCAGTCAATCCAAGTAAGTTTGTTGCTCACGAGGCCAATCCAAACCATGCTTATGGCAATGGAAATGCTCAAAATAACTTTGGGAATAGGCCCTATCAACAGATTGACGCGTCTGCTCAAGGAAATAATCAACGCGACCAAGATTCCGGCAATAGTGAAAACTTGTCTCATATATTTACATCTACAATGGGCTACGAATTGAATTGATTTTATAATTTTGTATATTTTAGTGGTATACTTATTCAGGAAAAATTAAATTGTTTAGATGAAAGATGAATAAAGAATAAAAGTTAATTTCTTGAAGTACCAACCTCATTTTTTCCCTTTTCCAGTCGTAAATGGATTTTAGAAAAGACACTAAATAAAGTGTTTTAAAGCAGTATTAATCGATTTATGAAATATAGTCCTGGGTTGTTAGCCAAAAAGGACAACAAAAAAATTCTCATTTCTTCTTGAAAATATTTCGGATTTTCTTATATATTTCTGTCCTTGTTCGCTATAAAAGGCAAATAAAACAATCGTTTTAGGACCAATTGATTCCATTTTACGGATAATCCACTGTGCATCATTAACCGGTTGTGGCCCGTGGCAAATTACCCGGATGGCGGGAGGACTTCATCGATACGCAGGACACAGTGGAGAGCCGCAAAGAGGGACAGACCGCAGGGACCGCAGAAAGGGGCGTTTCCTCGGTGGCAGCTCGTCCTTTTGCCAGGAGTGCCAGGAGCTCCAGTCCCGTGACATCGCTCGGCACGCACACGCAGCAGCTGCGGGCGCCATCAAAAACTTGTGCTTGTGGCGGGGCGCACTTTAATTTCAATTTGGAGCCGACCCCCGACCCCCCAACCCATCGGAACCCCACAAGAACTCCCCCAAACCCTCAGATCCGCCAAACAGCACCACCGCAATCAGACTGGCCCCACGGCAATTTATTGTTTTCCACTTTACGCCAGTGTCCCACTGGAGACGGTGTCCTGTGTCCGCGTGTTATTGTTTTGTTGTGTTTTTTAGTGCCGTCCTCAAATTTGAGAGTTCGCCCGCCGCCGGTTTTCCCTTGAGCTTTGAGAGATTGAGCCACTTGTCAATTGTAGGCACATCCCAAGAACAGCGAGTTTGGGGATGGTACACTCAAAAAAGCAAGCCTAACAAAGTATCTCATTGGCTACATGGCGTATGAGTGATTTTTATGCCAACTGAGCTCTAAATTTGTAAAGACCAGTTCAATTGTATTTGTTATAATTCAATGTTGATATATTTTGTAATGTTTCAAAGTGTATAGAAAATGAAATACTCTCTTTTGGTTTTTAGTGTAAGTAATATTTTAATAAAAATATATTTTGAACTAGAGCATTAAGAATTCTTTGCACACTTAAATATTTGTTTAAAAAAAGCAATCAATTTTTGTCAGTGTAAAAGGCCAGGGAGTGGCAGGAGGTTAAGCAGAGAAAAAAGTCAGAGATATTCACTTACCATCACAGCATTGCGCTTGAAATCCATAAAGTTCTTCACCTCGGCGGCCAATTCACGCAGCAAGATAATGCCATCCTTGCGCATCACTTCGATGTCGTTGTCCTTGAAGCGCTGCAAATGAAAAACCAAAATCATCAGATACACAATTCTCAGTACATTCTACAGCCATAAACTATAAAAGCTGATGGGCGTCGGTTCGCAAATAAAAAAAAGGGGTTAAAGGGTTGTAAAACTTTTGCGCTTTCTTATTGTCCAACATAAAACGGTGATGTACTTCTGAAATCGGACTCGGCCTGAAATTGCCTAAGTAGGCGGAGATTCTATGGCTGCAGGCGACTCTTAAATTGATTTTAATGTATCTTATTAAATTAATTTGGTTTTCATTTGCGGTCTCGGTTCCATTTTCTTGGAAGCTGTGTAGCATGGGCGTGGGAAATGCCGCTGGTCATTGAATTTAATGGATGTTGACTTAAGCAATTCCTTTCATGCTTATATTTCTTAGTAAAGATATACATCTATCAAACATTTTATGTGGGATACTATATTCTCTAAAAATAAGTATTTATTTTTAATAGCATGTTTTTATACTATTCTCATTTATTTATTTTCCGAACTCCTTATATATTGACTAGGTCCTTTAAGTAGAAGGCTATTTATTATACGGAAAATAAATGTTCTAGGCTTAAAGAATTACACATATTATATGTTTAGGGATAGATTTCATGACTGCGACAAAACAGTCTAATTAAATTTCACATTCCATTGCACTTATCCCCTGAGAAGCTTCTGCTAACTGAAGTGAGACACGCACACAGCCTAGTTTCAGATTGAAGCAGAAATACGCATTTAATGTCCAAGTTAATGGCCTCAGCGATTTGCCCTGATTTTCCTTCACCAGTCAGCCAAACACCAACACACACGCACACGCAGATGCCCTTCGCCATTATAATGATTTTCCTATTGAACGTGTTGTCATCTGTTTTAATGGAAAATTCTGATGAGTTTTCTTCTCTGTTTTTTTCCTCCCCCCCTGATGAATTCCCATAATCATAATCGAAAGAGTAGCGGGCGCACAGAAAAGAAATGGGTTTCGCACAAGCAAATGCATTTTATGAGTTTTTTTATGCATTTAAGTGCCACAAATTAGCAATTTAGGAATGGAGTTATAGAGGGGGCGCGGCCACGCCCATTTCAAATTGTCACTTTTCAAACAAACTGTCAGTTAAATTATGTTTTTTGCTGCAATGAGGAGAGAAAGAGAAAGAGAAGGAGAAGGACCCTGTACATGTCTCCAGCGAATTAATTAGAAAACTTTTCTTAACTGATTCAGTGCCAGCAGCAGCAGTAGAGAATCTCGCTGGGCATAGAGGAACATGCTCGGCTATGAATAGGAGTACCCCAAGAAAAACTGATCTCTTAAATTATAAATTATTATAATTAAATAGTTAAGTTATATATGAAAACAATTTTGATAAGCCAATAAAGTTGGACATCAAGTTAAACTAATATATAGATGCATGATATCATTTTATTTAAACTTTCTAAAAATGTTTATCGTATGATACCCAAAGAAAAACTGTTCTCTTAAAATATAAATTATTATAATTAAATAGTTAAGTTGTATATGAAAAAAATTTTAATAAACCAACATAGTTGGGTATCTAATTAAGCTGAATAAATATATGCATAAAATCATTTTATTTAAACATTCTAAAAATGTTTATCGTTTCAATAAGAGTACCCAAAGAAAAACTGTACTATTATATTATAAATTATTATACTTAAATAGTTATATATGAAAACAATTTTGATAAACCAACAAAGTTGGACTTCAAATTAATCTTGTTATATATGCATTAATTCATCTTATTTAAACTTTCTGAAATTGTTTATCACAAAAAAAAATAGTATTATTATAATAGTTTAAAATAGGTATGTAATATTTCAAAGGCCTTTTTGAAAAAATGTTAAAAATAGATAAGTAAATATAAATTAATACAAGATACATTAAATTAAATAATAAAGTATTTAATCGCATATAAACAAATGACGCAAATCTAAAACGATTTGTTAACATCAAACTAACGAATAAATATTATACTCTTCGATATTTTATACTTTTTAAGATTTTTTTAGTACCAACCTATTTTTGGTATGCATTTACCATAGTTTTTCTCCAAAAGAACTTGAATAGGAAGACGTACCCACACACTGGCGTTGCAAATATTTGTGGCCTGAGCCGAAATCCAACCATGTACCATTTGTGTGCTTGTGTGTGACCACAGAACTTAAACTGCAGGGCGAAGCCTCTTTGAGGCATTCATTAGTTGGCCAAAAAGAAAATGTCACCCACACAAGTTAAGGCGAAAAAAGAAAGTATTACTAGCATAAGCAGTTTATCCCCTTCTTTGTCTTATGCACTCGTAATGCCACTGAGCATTATAAATGTTATAAGAAGATTTCAAGCGCCTAAAATAAGAGCACTTGACTCACACATTCGTGGGTTAAGGTGGCAACATAAGTTGGCTGTTACCTAAATGGCATCTTGGAACTATATTCTTGGGCTGCGAATTCCATAATCTTCTTAAATTGTAAGAAAATACCTTGTTACCCAGTTTAAAAAGCTAAAGGAATAAAGCATTTAACGCTTAACGCTAAATTGAGCAAATTTCTATTACTTTCTTTGCACACAAGTAATAGGATACCCAAAGTTTTCCTACAAAAATGATTTATTGCAGTTGCAAAAACCATTAGCAAACTATTGCCAAATCAAAGGCAATGGTTAAAAAAGGAGTGAAGCAAAGTGAAAATCGAGAGGGGAAAATGCATTGGAAATTAAAAGAATGTCAAGCAAGCAGCAGCAGCTTAACAAAAAGGATCAATGAAGAAAAACTAAAAAAAAAACCGGCTATATTCTATATGTATATCTGCGGGGGCTAGCAAGATATTAGCCACGACTGCAGGGGCCACGCCCACAAAAACCTCACCCAACTTTCATGCGATGGAAACATTTTATAAAGCAATTTCCACGCGAGCAACATCGAAATGCAATGCACGCCTGAAGGACGCACGCGTGTGTGTGTGAGTGTCCTGTCGCGGTGGGGCGGTAAAAAGGGGGTGGTGGTGCAAGGAAGTATATACAATATGTATACAATATGGGTAGGACTCGAAGAGCGAGAACAGCAGTAGCAGTAGCAGTAGCGGCAGCAGCCATAGAAAGTTTTTCATTTTGCGGTTGACTCTGGAATTCGAAAATGTTGCGCAAGGAGGAGCCCTCCAGCGAACCTTCACCGCCTGCTCCACCACTTCACCCACTCAACCACCCACCGGCGGGTGCGTATGCAGCTGGTGCAGAACTTTAACTGGAGCAAGGACATCCTTTGGGGGGGGGGAGTTGCGAATAAGGAGCATTCCTGAGCTTTGGCTTCTGCTCCTGTTGAATTCCAGCTCAAGTTAAGCAGCTTACGCATGCAGCAGCAGATGCAACAGAAGCATCGGCCACCTGAACCTGCACTCCGCCAGCTTCTAACACTAATGCAAATTTATAAATTCTTTTGCACTGAAACTAAGCCACCATGATTTTATTTCTTTTAGATTCAAAATAGTTATGACTGTCATAAAAATGGATGTTTTTAAAAGTCCATAAAAACTCTTAATTCATTCCAAATATATATTATTAATCAACATTTTTAATGGGTTCTTGGAACAATCATAAAAATTATATTATGGTTTTTTAATCACTAAGAGCGCGAAATATTAATGTCAAGGTCTTTAGCTTTCTTATTATCTCACTGATTCATTTGTTGGGAAAAGCACAAAGACACTCATTTAAGATTGTTTATTAAACAGGAAGTTTGATAAGGTGTACTATATATTTTGAAAAAAAAAAGAACTTGATTCTTTTTCTTCCACACAACAACGGAAAAGGAATAAAGATACTCATTTAAGATTGTTTAATAAACAAGAAATTTGATCAAATGTAACATACTATATTTATATTTTTTTATTTTTACACAATAACATCTAGTAAAATATCTTAATTCTACTTCAAAAAAATAATTTTCCTAGCGGAATAAAGCAAACAAATGTATTGTTCAAGCTGGCTCTTCTTCGACAGCCCTCACTTTAAGATAGTTTTTCGCCCAGTGCAGTTGTAGTTTAAGGTACATATATTGACTTTCGTCCTGGCTTCCTCCTGTCTGAGTTATTATGCGCTCAAGTGCCGCGGCGGTCCCAGAAACCGGAGCAACTCTTTGGTCTGGTTTGGCATTTTGTGGCTTGGTCTGGAAACGCGCTAATTAGATTTTAATGAAGATGTCGCTGTCACCCTTCTACTCCAGTTCCCATCCCCCAGCGAATCTTCGAGGCCCCATCCCTTTTGGAAAAGCGAGCAACAATGTCTCGCATCAACGCGCATGTTTCCCTGTTCACTGAAGCAGAGATTTCCTTTGCTAATTCCTTAGTACAGCAACATTTTTTTTTTAGTTTTCCCCTCCCATTTTTTGCAATTTTAAACTTTTTAGTTTCTGCTTTTATTGCTACTGTCATATTTTGTTGATTTCTCTTCTTCTAATGGATAAGCTTCATTTTTTTCCGCGAAAGCTGGATTAAAGTTTTAATTAGCATGCTTTTCTGTATTTTTAATTGCTAGGTAAAAAGCTAGTTCATTCCAGCAGTTATAATTGCGTTATTAAGGTCCTTTGCCGTCAAGTGGAAAAATAGTTTGAAGGGCCAGGGTTGACTAACTCAGAAAAAGGGGGTATATCAACCCTAACAAAACCCAAAAAACTAACACTGAAAACTAGCACTGATCACAAAGGATAAACAAAAAACAGAACACTTGAAAAGTGACCAATCTTGAAGAGTGTTTGCAGACCACCATTTAATTATTCTGCACTTAATTAAGCAAATAATCTTCTGGGAGTTGAGTCATCCTACCTGGCACTTGCTACGTCCATGTAATGGACAAACCCCTCGAGGATTTGATGAAATTAAATATTTAATTTGCTTTATACTTTCATTAAGGACCAGTCCCGAGAAGTCTCCGCCCCACTTAACATTTGTTTGCCGGCAGCTGTATGTCATGCTCGCATTTTCGCCACCAAACGACAACGACAGACTTAAATATTTGCATAGACAAGTCCTGGCTATATATACGGGTATATACATACAAACATACATCCCTATATTTATATGCATGGAGAGGATCAAGGACTGTGTGGGTCTGCGGCACGAATGCATTTTGGACCACACAAAAGCCAGTGGAGAGTAGCCCCATGAAGGAGTTGGGCCGAGGGATTTGGATTCCCTGGCCCCCAAGTCGTCGCCTTGATTTACGATTAGTCTCTTTGCAGTCCGCAACACTGTTCGCCACACACTTAGTTAGCCAAACACACAAAACCAACTCCCTTCAAGACCCGCCCCCCAAAGTTTAGCCCGATTCCAGCCACAAGGTCCTTAACAAGGCCTTTCTATTTGTCACCAGACCCGGGAAATGGAGCAGAATCGCCGCGTGGGAGTTGCAGTCGCCTGGTGATGGGTAGTTGGTATCGCCGGAGTGGGCAACCACTTGCCAGCAATCTGCATTTCGGGCGGCAGACCCTGCACACGAAAAATTATAATTGCCTAGACAGCGAGCACAATGCGGATGCAAAAACCACAAACATGGCTAGGGATTAAGTTTTAATTTCCAAACCAAATCCTAATATTAACACCTTAAATTTTACTAGGACTTTTATGCCACATCCTTATATTAGCACCTAAAATTTTACTATAGTCTGTATAATATAGATACATCTTTAAAATATATGGTGATTATCTTTAATTTGCTACCTAAAAATCTTGAAATACTTTAAATATTTAGTCTCTTCTCCTATGAACGTGAACTCGACTTACAAATGGTTTACTTTTACCTTCAATAAGCAGCGAGGAGAATGCCAAGTAGAAGACCCAGAATAAGCTGGTAGAGGCAGAAAACAATAATTTGCATGCCACTTACAGTGGGAGACGACTGGGAAAATGAAATAGAGGAGGGAAAATGGAAAACTGTGAGGGAAAGCGAAGGCTGGACGCTGAAGAAAAACGACAGCACGCGCCAGTTCTGTTTTCTTATATATTCCGCTGTTAAAAAGTTTTGTATTACGTGCAAAATGAGAGCACGCTTAAATTTATTTGCCTGCAAAGCGAGTAGGTAATTTCTGCTTGAATTTGACCCATATTTCACTGCAAGAGAGTGCCCAGATGTTCGACAATGATCAGCAGCACCGTTAGCTGCACATCATCATTTGCCATAATGGCAACACACACACTCAGAACTCACAATAAGAACTCCTGTCATTTTGTCCATTTTCCGTTGCCATGTTGTCGATAAGACCCTTTCATATCTGTCACGTTTCACAGAAATATGCCGCCATTTGTTTCTTTTATAAGGCGGCTCTCAACTCTTTTTCATTTTTGGGTTAAGATTAAATGGCAAAAATCAAACAGATACTTTTAATTTCAAAATATGGAACTAATATATCGTGTCGACCATTTTTTTATTTACTCTCACCCCTTCTTGGTCCTAAATATTTTTTCTGTTCGAACTTTGAAATAGACAACAAGTCTTATGAACATACGTCTCTTATTGTCTAAAAGACATTTAAGCTGATATGTTGTTTTTCCTTCCGGAGCAAATATACGACGACTTCCTACGAATTTTCTAAGTTCTTTAGAAACCTTTAAAATCAAAAGCCGTCTGGGTATTGCTGATAAAGAGCATGGTATAAATTCCTAGAGTGAGTCACCACCTTGCGATCTTTTGTAATCACAACTCACTATATACTTTGCGAAACAAAGCTTATTTCTTAGAATGATGCAATAATATTGTGATTTCTTATTATCACATTTCTCTTGCTATTTCATAATATGTGAAGTAAAATTTTCAGTGAAATTTTTGGCAATATAACAAATCAATTTCTAAGGATTTTCTTTATCCTTTGTCCATGCAGTGCAAATAAACCACTCAATATTTCATTTGAGGCTAAGCCCCTGATGTAATACTTTCGATCGTCTGATCTGTTTCGATGAACTACATTATTTTTTAAAGAGAGGGCATTTAATCTTCGCCTGGTCCTTAGAATCCTGTTGTAGGTTTTATCTGTCTGAAGAACATATTTCATGGCTTAGGTGGATACTTTTTTAGCTAGTCAGCGCTAAACGCTTTCGAGCCAGAAGCATACGGAAAATAAAATAAATGAATATGCGCCACGCACAGGCATTCCACACACACACACACAGGCATACACGAACACACGCACACTCTGGCACTCCGTGTCCTTTCTGTTCTCCTTCCGTTTCCTCTCGCTCTCTCTCTCTCTGCTCCTCTTTCGTGGCAGCCATTTTGTCTTCGGGTTGTTGTTGTCCTTGGTGTTCCTGTTGTCCTGCGACGCCTTTCGCATAACTGAACGTGTGCGCTGCATTTGTTTTACATTTTATTATGCTACTTTAAAATGCCAAACGGAAAAAACAGCTACCCAAAATAGCAAAAAAAAAATAGCAGCTACAGCAAAACAGCAGGAGAAAAGCGAATAAATGAGTGGAGGACCAAACGGGGGGCGGGCCACACCCACAACATTGTCCGCTTTCCTTTTTAATTTTTTTCCCCTTTTCTTATTTTGCTAAACATTTTTCGAAGGACAACGGGAGAAAAAAAATGTGTCAGCGAAAAAACCAATTCAATATAACCATGTTAAGGAATTTATGCTGTTTTCATTAATATAAAATATTGTAATATAATTATATTATATATATATATATAATTATATTATATTTTAAAAACTTCTTTTTAGAATGAATTTTTTATACATTTATTTTTAAATCTTTCTTTTAAGCTTTTAAAAGCTTACGGTTGCCACTTTTTTTAATCTTGCTGTTTATGTTTGTTTTTAAATAAATACTCAAACAATAACTGATCTCACTATCAAAATAAAGCTTTTTTGATAACGCATATATATAATTAGAACGTGTAGCGAAAAGGTCTCCGCAATTAGAATTAAATCTCGGAGCGGAATCATGTTCCCGGTCCGGACTTTATTAATTTTTCTATCCGTCCTTATTTTACTTGGCGCGGCTGAACAAGCTGAGTTCGATCAAAGTATTGAAAATGTAAGTGTCTAAACTCGAGTACTTTTTTTTTCAAATAAAAACCTAAATAAAAACTATATATGGATTTTTTGACTTATCAAATAAGTCGAAAAGTGTGTCGGCAAATGTCGTATATTTCTGTTTGTGGGTGAGGTCGCTCCTAAAATCTTTTAATTACGGTCACTCTCAATCTTTATCATTTTTAGGAAATCGATTTTGCAGATGAACAGCCGAAATGCGGTGAAGGCAGTTTAATACCTCTGGAACTGGACTTTAACATTACTGATGGTCAAGCAGCCCCTGGTGAATTTCCGTGGACAGTAGCTGTGCTTCATCAAAAGGGATTCCTTAGTGGTGGATCTTTAATTGCCCCAGATGTTGTGCTCACGACCGCTCATTGGATATATAATAAGTTGGCGAAAGATCTTTCCGTCAGCGCGGGTGAATGGGATTATGGAAATGCTTTAGAAAACTATCCATTTGAAGAGCAAAATGTGGGGAAAATCGTAATACACCCGTTATTTGATTTGAAAAGAGGAGCCAATAACTTGGCACTTCTCTTTCTGGAGAACGAGTTCCAAATAACGCAACGGACTAATACAATCTGCCTGCCCACAGAAAAAAGATCCCTCACCTCCACTCGCTGTATGGTGGCTGGTTGGGGTAAAAAAGAATTCAAGGATAAGCATAACACAAGCATCCTCAAGAAAATCGATTTACCCATAGTGCCCAGGGACATCTGCCAGGATCAATTGCGACAAACCAGGTTGGGCAAAGCCTTCAACCTACCTTCGGGGCTCATTTGTGCCGGTGGCGAGGAGGGCAAGGATGCCTGCACCGGCGATGGTGGAGGAGCACTTTTCTGCCCAATGGCCGAGGATCCAACAAGATTCGAGCAAATTGGCATTGTCAACTGGGGCGTGGGCTGTAATCAGAAAAACGTTCCCGCCACTTACACAGACGTTTTTGAATTCAAGTCTTGGATTCTTAACCAGTTGCTAAGTCCTATGACTATTTCTGACAGTAATTAATTTAATTCTTGTAAATATGTTTATCGAATCAAATAAATAATGATCTGCTCAATGTTTATAAGTACATGAGTTTAATTATTTTAAGTGTGGTCTAAAAAAAATAAAAAAATATGTAGCAATACTGTGCTACATCAAGTTATTCTTAAAAATAAAATTCTGAATTCTTTGAATAGAACCCTTTTTTTAAATTATATCTTTATTTAAACGTAATATCTTTATTATTTGATAGCAAGCAGGAGTTTATAAATTCGTTTGCTGTTTTCAAGGAAAACTTTAAGTACCAAAACAAACAGGGTTCTTATTTATATTTGATACCAAGCAGGAGTTTATAAATTCGCTTGGTTTCTTTTTTTTAAGCACATAGTTAAAGTACCAAAACACCCCCGCAAACTCTCTTTTTTTAAGGGTGGCATGTCATTAATTTTATAATACACACAATTTATTGGCCAAACCATCGAAAGGTTGATGCCAAAGTGAAAGGCGTTAACAAGGGCTGCACTCGCATAACCACTAACAGCACACAAACAAAGAAACACGTCGACGGAAGGACAGATCAACTTTCACACGCACAAAATGGTATGATATAATGTTTATAAAGCACATATGTGTGCGTATATAAACACACACACACACACAAAGAGACTGGCACAGAGCATTTCCGCCAAACGCACAACGCGGCGTATACTTGATATTTAATTCAATCTGGGCGTAGGTTTTCATTTTTTTTTGTCGTTGTAAGGGACGTGCGCTTTAAATTAACACAAACAAACGTTGTCAGCGACAGCAACACCCATACACACACACACACACCACCACCAGCACAACAACAATGACACACGCACACACATACACGTAGAGCAAAGCAACAGCAACAAGGCACTTGACAATTACAGACTCAATGACAGTCACAGCAGCAAATTTATTTGCATTTTAGCTGCCTTTCTGGCTCCGAATCCTGTAGCTTCCTCCGCATGTACCACCGTCCCCTCAGCATCCATGCCCTTCCCCAATTCCTGTTTCTCTGTATCATTCCCCTGATATTTATACCCTTTATGAGGTTGAAGAGCTATCAGCAAGATCATTCCATGTTCATGATTATGATCCATATTATGCCTTACATTCTTTTTATTTACCATAAATTTGTTTAATTCAATTATTTTTTAAATTTGAAATATTTCTTAAAAAATGTATATCTGGTGTATTGCTCAAATAATTGGATTTTTAAAACACAGTATTTTTTAAAATTTTAAGTAAATAACTTTTTAAAAAAAATGGCTGGTTCTTAAGCATTTTCAACAGAATTAAGATGTTAAAATTATTTTAATATTTGTAATGTGCCAGTTTTTATTATAATTTCGGTTTTAATCGAATATAAAAACAGTTATTCAGATTTACTGAAAATAAATTTTGTCTCAAAATAACGTGTTTTTTTTTTGTTTTTAAAGCATTTTCAACAGAATTTAGTTCCTAAAAATATTTTAATATTTGTAATGTTCCAGATCTTATAATAATCTTTTTTTTAATGGAGTATAAGAACAGTTATTCAAACTTACTGAAAAGAAATTGAGTCCCAAAACTACGTTTGTTGAAGTAGAACATAGAATATTGTCTTATAAACCCGTCCCTTTTGTGGGTAAATCCTCATAAACGTGATTCCCTCGCACATCATCACAACGTACACACTTGGCCAATAAAAGCAGCCCACCAACTCATGCACGTCTGATTAAACGCGAAAGTACGCGACTGGCGGTTGGGGGCAAGAAAACCCACTTGGAAGCCACCATCTTTCACCGCAGGCCACGCAGTCAACCAAATCCAAACACAGTCATGCTTATTAACATAGATAGCAGCCAGGCACATACTTATATCAGCCCGCTTAACCCACGGTTTACCCCCCCCAATTAGCCTTATTTGTGTTTAAATTGCATTAGGGCCAACAAACAAACAAGCGAGTAACCAAATAAGAGCGTCGAAGAAGAACACGAAAAATTGACGCATTTGCTAGTTAAGCTTCCACTAAGCCGGGCCATTCAAAGCTTTTATCGATATATTCTTCCTTATCGATAAGTTCAACTAAGTGGCCAAGGAGCTTAAGCGTATTTGTTTCGACTAAAACCCAGCCAGACAATCGAAGCCATTAACCCAGCCGATTGGTCGTACCCACATGTCAGGATTATCAGATACATATGTCTAAATTATCACAGCCATCGAATAGTGTATTTATTGTTTGTCTAGCCATATGGCCAACTTAATTACTTACACTTTTGATTTCGTTCATTTTAGTAAATTGACGTCCGAACTCCCACAAGTCAACGCCGAACTTCAAGGCCCAGTTGCGAACCCTGCAAGAAGTGAGGAAAATATATATTAATTTTAAGCCTTAATAAGAATTTTATATTTAAATATTTGTATTTTTAATTTTATGAGTCAGGGAAAAAACCAAAACTCATAGTTTTCAGAAGATAAGCTTTCAGCTTTTTTTTGTTGGGGTATTTTTAATTCTCTACCCTTACTCTTATCTCTTTTAAAAAACAAAAATGTCATTAATTAAATTTAAAATTGTTTGTCTTGATCTTAATCTGTGCCATTTATTAATAAAGTCATAAAGTCTTAACATCTTTACGGATTTAATATTATCAATTACCACATTCCTCTGATACTGGTAAATATTTTTAAAGCCATTAGCCCGCAATTTAACAGCCATTCAACGACACGTGACTGATTAAAAATCAATTAAAATCGATTTAAAATTGCGCATAAATTATTTCCAACTCATTACGTAAATGCATACAAATATCCCATTAAGCAATAAATGGCTGGCTGGCAAGAATACCGAACCAATATTATCATTAAAGAAAATGTACTTTGGACGAATATTCCTTCAATATTTGCTAAAAAGTTTGCTACGAAAACAAAAAAGGTAAATCAACCAGTTGGCTGGACCCAACTAAAGTCCAAATCACTTGGGCAACCCCCAAGACAGCAGGAAAACTCATTACAGAAGACGGTGGGAAAGGAAGTGAGGGGGAAAACTCCCAAGGGTCGAGGGATAACAACAGGACCAACGGCCAACTATTGTGAAAACATTTGCCAAACATTTATAATCTAAACGCGAAAGTCAAAAGCAAAACAAAAGCAGCACAACGAGTGCTCATAAAACAAGTTGCGGGTTGGGGGGAATGTGACTGGAGCAACAGCAAATTGAAAATAAAGCAGGAGGACCCAAAGTCTGAGCGTTGATATAACGAGTATAAAAAAAAGAAAGTACGACCAGAAGACAAAGTCAAGTTGAGCCCAGAGTAAAGACCTTGCAGAATAATAACTCCCAAAAATATTTGCACAATTTTATGGCATTATCTGCAATATCAATACGGTGGCAAAAGGGACGTGAAGCCAAGGAAACTCGAACGGCAGCAATGTTGCGTATACGCAATGTTGATTATGTTGAGCCGGCGGCGAGCCACCACACCAAAGAAAGGATCCCATCTAGATACCAAATAAGCGCATGTTTATATGCTATATGGCCGACGAGGGAGGTCCGGAAGTTGGGATGCTGGGCTGTTGGGATGTTGGGTTGTTGGGCTGTTGAAAAAGACAGCAGATTGCGATGGGAAGGAAGTGCAACTGCAGTCGAGCGGGCCACAGACAAAGTTTTATGGCTCGAGCGATGCCAAAAATGAATTTAAATTATATGAAAATTGTATTATAAACGGATGCTCCCCAGCACTTCCCGCATCTTCGTGGCCCGCAGCGATGAAAGCGTAAACAATGAAGCGAAATAAAGTGGCCAACAAAGTGATTGAAATTGGATAATGCTGATGGCTGGCTGGCAACAACAAAGAGCTGGCCAAGTGATGATGATGGTGGGGATGGGAGGTTGGGGTCAAGTGATGATAATTAAATGGGAGCCACACTATGTAGGGGTGAACTATAGGTTGAAAGTTGAGTGGCAATGAGTTAACTGATACGAGTTAATCTTAATGCAATAAAAATGGTCATAAATGCGTAAAATGTTGTCATAATAAAAATGATAACCAATTATTAAAAAAGTTAATAAGAAAGTAGATACACATAATAATTTTAAGTCCTATTAAATATAAAAATAAATATTAATAATTTTCTATGATCGTCGGTAAATACTAGATACCAAATAGTTTGAAAATTTTCTTTAGCAGAATTCAATCTAAGAAACAAAAAACAACTTAATAAAAGAGTAGTTAAAATATATACTTATGATAAAATGTAATATAACACCTATTAAAAATATAAATAAATATTTAAATTTCCCTATGCTCGCCCGTAGATATTAGTTACCAAATATTTACCAAGATTTCCTAAACTAAATTCAACCTAAAATACAACAATCTACACCCACAAATGTCACAGCACACAGTTAAATGCCATATCCTATATTCTCAAAATGCATAACACAAAAATTCTCTAGAAAATATATAAGCAGGCATGCACAACAAAATTTCGGTTTTAAACATTGAAACATTGCTATCAAAAAGTATTCCATGTTCGTGTGGAAAACAAACACACATATCTACATATACTGAGAGTAAAGGAACAATGCATATACACACATCCAACAAGAAACAAGAAAAACATTGAAAATCGGGTCCAAAACAGCCCACAGCAATGAAAGGCCATCAACGTCATCTTCTTGGCCTCAAGTTGAAGAGATTCTTTTTTCCGATTCTTTGGACTCTTCCTGCTGGCCCAGCAAAAAAACAAAGTCACATTTTGTTTTATACATAGATTTTTATGTTTTGTACTGCTTGGCCAGAAACTTGACAATAGCTAAAAGTATGGGTGTGCTCAGGTGTATTCGTAGTGACTTTCTATTCTGTCTCAGCTTTTTGAGCACGAACCAACCACGTATGTCATGCTCAAGTACCATATATGGTACACCCAAAGCCATCGAACCAGTTTCGTTCCATTGCATTCTTCACCGTTGGCCTCCTCGGTCGTTTCACGTTTGTCTTTGCAGTTTTTCACTTTTCTCAGGGCGGCAAGTTTATTTTGAGGCAGGTGGAAATAGGCTGTTGGTTGCCGTTG